GCAGCTCATGTTTACTACTATTGCGTTGTGTTTTTAAGTTTCATTATTATTGTAACTGATTCTCATCTGTAACTCCGCGAATCCTAACAATCGCGCTTTAGTTTCTGTCTTTAAGTTTCTGCTTGTATGCCTTACTGTCTGCATTTTTATTTCTGCTTGCATGATTCAAATCTCACACATTCATCAATACTCCTGTCACTATACACATCCGAAGGTTAGGTCTAACCGTTTGGTCGCCGCGCCAATAGTTCTCAACTTCAAACCCTCAAAACTACAAAATTACAAACCCTAATTTTCACAAATGTCTCGCCGCAGGCAAAATTACCATTTTACCCCTAGCATTAGGTCAAAGAGCCGCCGCGCTCATTTTAGGGTTTCCCGCCGCGGAATCCCTAATTTAACCCTAATTACAACTTAACAATTCAACGTAGAGATTTGGAGTTTCTACACTCCATGTAAGCGTGTCCTTAAGATGCGTTTATTCCCCTTAAGACCTTGACCACAGTCAAGAAGTCTCTAACCTCCCTTTTGAGGGGAACTACGATTACTCTGATTTCACTCCCGTAAGGATACGTAGACACAAGATGCGATGTCTTGCCGAGTAAACTTAGAATTAACCCCTTAGGTCTCTTTTCTCACTTTTAATCCCTTTGTACATATACCTTAAGCAAATAAATAAAGCAAATAGTAAACATTGAACAAAAGGTTCCTGTAGAGTACTACAGAAGTTTAGGGTGCTAATACCTTCCCTAAATTTAACCAACCCCCGAACCCTAGATCTTTCCCCGCATTGTGTTTACAATGCAAAAATAGGTTTTCCCTCTTTTGACCTTTTCCTTCGGATAAATCAAAGAGCGGTTGTGAATTGAATTGCGATTCAAACTCATTAATAGTTTGTGATCCTATTTCCACCGCAACAATTAGGAATTCTCAAAAGGTTTTGAGTTAATTCCAACATTTGGTATCTAGAGCTTCGGTTATGATTCGAAGAAAGAAAATCACGATGGCGCTGAATCATCCAAACAGGCATTTTTTGGCAAATCTTCCAATTCTCAAGAAAGATAATTATGAGAATTGGTGCAAGCAGATTAAGGTGGTGTTCTGTTATCAAGATATTTAGGATCTTGTGAAGGAAGGAGTAACACCGCTTGCAGAAAATGCAACGGATCAAGAAAAGGTTGCACATAAAGAATTGAAGAAGAAAGATTATAAATCTCTCTTTTATAATCCATCAATGTGTTGATCTAGATGATTTTGAAAAGGTTAATGATGTAGAATCAGCTAAAGAAGCGTGGGAAATTCTAGAGAAGTCGTTTGGAGGAGGAGATAAGGTGAAAGAGGTGAGGTTACAAACTCACAAGAGAACCTATGAATTGCTTCAGATGGAAGAAAGTGAAAGTATAACAGATTTCTTCACTAGAGTTACAAAGTTGGTGAGTCAAATCAAGGTATGTGGAGGAGTGCTTACATGAAGATCAGTTGTTTCAAAGATCTTGAGGTCATTGGTTCCAAAGTTCGACCAAGTGGTAGTCGCCATAGAAAAGTCAAAAAACTTGTCAGCATTGACGAAGGAAGAGCTTCAAGGGACGCTTGAGCCTCATAAAAAGAGGATGGCTGAAAGAGTTGCAGGAAAGTCGAAGAGTAATATGTCTTTGCAGGCGCAGTCAGAAAAAGAAAAAAAGGCAAAGGAAGTTGCAATGGCAACAAAGGCAGAGATAGCTATAATAATTCTACTAGTCGAAATCAACAGGAGGGAAACTAGTTGAATTAGACAAAGCCCTGAAACCAAGGCGACCTAAGAGGTGGTGCTGCAGGTAGAGGAAAAGGTGGTGGTCAAAAACCTGAAAAAAGTCACATTCAGTGTTACAATTGTCAGAAGTATGGTGACTATTTTAGTGAGTGTCGAGAAAAGAAGAAGAATCAAGAAACTGATGCAAAGCTGGCGAAACACGAAGAAGAAGAAATGTTATTAATGGTCACAACAAGAGATGAAGAAAGATTCCAGGACCAATGGTACTTGAACTCAGGATGCTCATCACACATGACTGGTAGGAAATATTGGTTTGTCAACATGAAGCCCTTGATGAAGAACATGGTGAAACATGCAAATGACAATACTCTAGCATCTTAAGGTATTAGTGATTTCCTGATTATGAGGAAAGATGGCAAGAGGTCAGTAATTTCTAATACATTGTACATATCAGGCATGAAGAGTAATTTGCTCAGCATAGGGCAGTTGGTCGAAAAGAACTACAATATCAATCGAAGACAAGATGATGAGAGTTCTCGACTCAAGTGGTAGGTTAATCTCGAAGGCTCCTATGTCACAAAATAGAACATTCAAGATTGAACTTAATATGGTGGAGCATAAGTTCCTTTTAACTTTAGCCAACAGAGATGAATGGATATGGAATTATTGGCTTGGCCATCTCAACTTCAAAGACATCAAAGATTTGAAGAGAAGAAATGTGGTTTCAGGATTATAAGAAATCAACATTCCAAGCCAAGTGTGTGAAGAATGTGTTCAGGCGAAACAACACAAGAATAGCTTCAGTAAGGATGCATGAAGCAAGTCGAAGGCAATTCTTAAAGTCATATACTCTGATGTATATGGTCCTATCTAGGTGGATCCAATTGGAGGTAACAGATACTTTGTCATGTTGGTAGATGATTTCAGTTGAAAACTATGGACTTACCTGATTAAGAAGAAAAGTGAAGTGATCGAGGTATTTTCTAAATTCAAATCTATGGTCGAAAGCTAAAGATTCTGAGGAATGATGGTGGTGAAGAGTATGTGGTGCCACCCTACACTCCACGGAAGAATGGAACTGCAGAAAGGAAAAATAGAGCCATCATGAATATGGTGAGAAGTATGTTGAAAGGCAAGCATCTACCCAAAGAATTATGGAGAGAAGCTGTATCGACTGCAACATACATCTTAAATAGATGTCCGACGAAGAAGCTAGAAGGAATCACGCTAGAAGAATGTTGGTCTGATGTCAAGTCTAACCTAAGTCATTTGAAAGTGTTTAAATCTATAGCATATAGACATGTGCCATATTAGTTGAGAAGAAAGCTTGATGACAAGTCGAGTCAAATGATCCTGATAGGATATCATTCGACTGGAGGATATAAGTTGTTTGACCCAGTGAACAAGCAAGTAGTGATCAACAAGGACATGATCATATATGAGTTTAAGGAATGGGATTGGACTGAGAATGTTAAGAAGGATTTAGTGAGAATCTCATGTGAATAACCAGCTAGTGAAGTCGAAAGAGATGTTTAATAAGAAGAAGTCTGAGGTAAAGCAAGCCCAAGCAGACCTCGACAAACAAGACACATGCCTGAAAGGTTGCAAGAATGTGCAATTACATCAGATGATGTGGTCGACGAAGAAGGTGAGCTGGTACAATATGCTTTCTATGCAGATGTCGAACCAGTCAATGCAGTTGAGGCATTGAAAGATTTGAAGTGGGTGAAAGCAATGAGTGAAGAGTTAGAGTCCATCAAAGTCAACAACACTTGATCACTTGTCAAATTGCCTCAAGGCAAGAAAGCAATTTATGTGAAATGGGTTTATAAGGTGAAGCTGAATCCTAAACGAAAAGTAACTCGACAAAAGGTGAGACTTGTGGCGAAAGGATTTCTTCAGAAAGAAGGAATCGACTTCGACGAAGTTTTTGCACCTGTTGCTAGGATCGAAACAATCAGGTTAATTGTTGGTCTAACAAACATGAACAATTGGTACACATGTCAGATGGATGTGAAATGTGCACTCTTGAATGGCCCTTTAGACGAAGAAGTTTATGTTGCACAACCAACTGGGTTTGTGAAATAAGGCAAAGAAAGAAAGGTGTACAAGCTCCATAAAGCCCTGTATGGACTTAAGCAAGCTCCAAGAGCTTGGATTAAGAAGATCGACAACTTTCTAATGAAGAAGAAATTTGTGAAGGGCACGACTGATTATGGAGTATATATAAGGAGAAGCAATAGTGAATTGCTTATACCATGTCTCTATATCGATGACCTGTTGATAATAGGAAGTTGCAAGAAGGAGGTCAAAGATTTCAAACATGACCTAAGTGAGGAGTTTGAAATGTCAGACTTGAGAAATCTCTCATATTTCCATGGCATCGAATTCTACAAGAGTGGTAGAGGTTTGATGATGCACCAAAGAAGATATGCAAGCAAAATACTCGAGATTTAAGATGCAAGACTGCAACCCAACTTCGAATCCAGCTGATACCAGATTGCAACTGTCGAAAGATTCAGATGAACATGATGTCGACCCAACCCAATATAGAAGACTTTTTGGGTCACTTTGATATCTTTGTCACACAAGGCCTAACTTAACATATAGTGTGGGTATGGTTAGTAGATTCATACAGAAGGCAAAGGTATCACACCTAGCAGTGACGAAAAGGATATTAAGGTATCTGAAAGGAACTCTCGACTAAAACATTTTGTTTCCTGAAGCTGATGAAGACAAAGAATGCAAGATAGTGAGATACCCTGATTCAAGTTGGTATAGTGATGCTGAGGATAAAAAATTCACAGTTGGCTATGTGTTTATGCTAAGTGGTGCACCAATTGCTTGGAGTTCAAGAAAATAGGCAATAGTTATATACACTTCATATTTGTTCAATAGTTTATTATTTTACAGATTTAATCATTCATATTTTTTACATTAGTATTTATACAATCACTCTTGAGTTTTTTTTTTAATTCTGACGGCAGTCGAAACTCCACTCGCTTAATAATAAGAAAAATAATAATAACTTGAAAACTAAAATCAAAATGAGTCTAAAAATTGTCCACTGTTGTAATTATAATGGAAATAATTATACAACTTAGATGAAAAAATTCAAAAGAAAAAAAGAAAAAAAAAAAGAAAAGACATATAAGAGAGAAGACCAAAATGGCTATGAAAATTCTCTGCCAATGATCAAATTAAAGAATTGATCTTACAATTAAAAAAGCATATTATATTATATTATTATCTAAACTTCCATACATGTTGTTCTTAAGTTTGTAGCTGGTTGAGAACTTGAACCAGAAAAATCAATGGAGAAACTTGCACTTTCTGATCCAGGAGGGCTGCTTTCATGTGATTTCTTGCTCATATAGTATGGTGATGTGCTCATTGCCCTAAGTATGTATAAAGAAAATAAATTAGGTTAAGAAAATCAAATCACAAAATAATAGAAATTATAGAAGTAATATAATGCTATCATGTTTGCCAATTTGGTTATTGACTTCAATTAAAATTTAAAATGTTCCCTAAAATCGAAAAATAAAAAGTTACATAATATTTTTAATCGACTAGGTTTCCACAATAATGAATCTAGACGAATATAAATAATACAATTTTCAAACATACATAAATTTTATTAAAATAATACCTTTCTTTTCGTTTCTCCAAAAACCGAGTCAATGATGCTTTTCGCGCTTGAGGCAAACATACTAAAAAAACAACAACAATTTGTTAATTATTCTTACATTTTAGAAAAATGTTAACAACACACTCTTTTTTAAATGAATTATTGTCTGATCGGATCTATCTATTAGATAATCCGACCAGACAAAATTTCAAACATAATAAAAATATACCTGATTGAATCATTTCTGAAGGGGCAGATACTATAGAAGGAGCAACAATAGAAGATTCCAAATAGTTATTTGGGACATTTAAAGGTCCTAAAGATCTTAGAATTGTGATTTCATTGTTGCTATTTGAACCTCCCCTTTGTTGAGAACTTGCATGAGAAGTCTTTGGAAGAGGACTTGGCAATGGTGATGGATAGGCTTGACTTATAATGAAACCATCTTTTTTGGAAGGTATAGAGATTTCTGGCTGCTTTTTAGTGCCATTTCCAGCTAATAACATGATAGCCTTAGCCTAGTCACAAAAAGTAAAAATAAAATAATTATTTCACAAAAATGAAAGGACTAGTTTGAAATTAAAATAAGTTTAGGGTAAAAGAATTTACCTTCTCAGGAGATATATCATCATAAACACATACAGAACCTCCATAAAAAATTGTCAATTGAGCAGGTATAGTACCATTGGATTTGGAACAATTCCTATTCCTATAAAAAAAATAAACAAAAAATTTTTTAAAAATTATTTTCTGTAAATTAAAAAATTAAAAATTTTCAAATATTTGAATTTATGATGTACCTTAAGTCAGTAGATCCAACAATGGAACCTATTGATGGAAGAACAGATAGAGGTGTAGCAGCAGAGGATTTAGAACCGAAAGATTGCGATTTTATAACCGAATTAACCATGTTGATTCCAGTTGTAGCAAGATTTGAAGGAAGAACAGAAGTTATCTGATTATTAGATTGGTTTGATACTGAAAATGTTGTTGATTCTTGATTGCAAATTGTTTGTGCATCAAAAGAATCTTTAGTGGAAATAGTCATATATCCAGAAGAACCTATTGGATCTCCAACAATGTTTCTTGACATATCTTCATGAGTGTTCTTGAAGGACAAGAATTGAGGAAGATTTGAAACCTTATTTGAGAATGACCACTGCATTCCTGTACTCCTAACTGCATACAATAGATTGATTATTTCCTCCCAAAACTAAGAAAAAACACAATGATTAAGATATTAATATTTATCAAAGAAACTACTAAGAAAAATATGTTCTACCCCACCAAAATAAATTAATTAATTAACTTTAGCAACAACAATGAAATTATTATTTAAAAAATCCTACCTTAAAACTATTTAGAACATGCTCTGGTAGAACTTTCATCACAAGAAGGCATAGTTTTTATTTTATTTTATTTTATTTCATATTGTATAATTATATTACATGTGACCTTGTTACTTTGTTATTTACTTTATTGTTACATAGGTACTATCTAGCCTGGTATAAGGTATATAAATTTAAATTTAATAACAAAAGTAACAAGAAAAAAAAATAATATTGTAATTCTTTATGAAGCATGGTATTATTTAATCATAGTCCACCATATAATATAATTATATAATGTACTAAATAGTACTATTTTATTAGTTTGCAATATTTTATGCTATATGACTTTGTTTTTATTAAAATGTATCTTTCTGTAAAACTTTAGTTTATGTAAACTTCTTCACAGCCAGCTTGTCACTACCATAAAAAAATTATTTAATTCTCAAAGCTTTGCATGCATCATCAATTCCCATGTTAGACTTTATTTAAAATATTTTTTTTGTGAGACTGATTTAATATTATAGTGATTTGTTTATATATTTATAATATTTTATATCCTTTTAATACAATCATTCACATGTCATGATCCAAGATTTTTTTATTAAAAAAAACATTATATAATAATAACATTTAAATATTTTACATCAATATTTTAATATTGCATCAAAATCAAGAAAAAGAAGGACTGCATTTTTCAATTAAATATAAGAATAAAGAGCACTAGACAACCAAGAGCACGTTTTCTAACATAAGTTGTGTAACCAACCATTTATCTAAAAAAATGTATATACTATTTATTATTTATTATAAAAAAAAAAAAGAGGTGCCCACATATTAATAGTAATGTAACAATTTTTTTTACCACTATTCTATCAACCGTTTAATCTAATTCAGAAATCAGTTCTAATATTAAATGCTTCCGACCTTTTTTCAATCGCAGTTTTAACATTAAGTGGTAGAATTAGGATGAAGAATTATTTTAGTTATAATTTTTTATGTATAAGTTAAAAAAATATATATATATCAAAAATATAAAGACATAAATCTTATTTAAGATAATTATAAAAAAAATTTAACATCAAAACCATTTATTCAAATTTGAAATAAAATGTAGTGACCTACATCTTTTTCTTTTTGACCCTATATCACAAAACACTTTTGTTTTGATAGAATGGATGGCAACTAAATTCAAACTTATTATCCTCATGGCCTATATATCAAGTAGCTAAATGATTGTGACTTTTCTCTTACAACAAGTTGCTATTCCCTACCACATACATATCAAACATCAACTTTCAACCATAAGTATCATATGGACCCAACCACATGTGCTAAATAAGATTTTTCTTGCATACATAAGTAGTTGTAAGATAGATACTTTACCTTACACACATAAAAATACATTTATTTATTTGGTTGAATAAAAAATTAATTAGAATTATATAATATATAATATTTAATATCAAAAATAATATTTTGTGTACAATTAAAATTCAAAAGTCTATTTTTATATTAAGGAAAATTTATTTAAAATAGTAGAAGTTATTTCAAAATTATTTTATATAATTTAGATAATTAGTGTTAGATATTTTAGTATCATAAAAATCATGTAATTTTTTGTATGAGAATAAATTTTCATGTTAAATCTTTTCTTTTCTTTTCTTTTTTTTGAATTTTATCATCTAAAAAAATCATAGAAAAAATAGAAAAAACTTAAAATCATTTTAATTATTAAAAAAGTTATTTAAACTATTTTTCATTTAATTAAAAAGAATATAACAAACCGACACTATAATTTGCATGGGAGGGTGCAAATTATAGAGCTAAAATGTCTTTTTAATAGATATATAAACTTAACCAAGTTCAACCTAGGAAACCTGAACAATCTTCAACATAATCTTATCCATTTAAGTGAAAAAATTAATTGAAAAAAAAAACTCCAATAATAACACCTAGAATTTTCTAATGCAAAGTTCTCAGATTTCACATGACATAAGAAGTATTGACCCAAAAAAATATAGAAAGTAAAGAAATAAATGGAAAACTGTTACCTGGGTCTTTTGATTTGTTGGAAGCATCTTCTTTGATCGTAATCCATGGACTATTTTTGGAAGTGAAGGCAAGAAATTCTCTGTCCATGTGGTGAAAAAAATGAATAAGTTGCAGAGAGAAAGAGAGAAAAGTGAAGGGTTTGAGAGAGAGAAGAAAAGAGAATATATAAAGAGAAAAATAGTAAAAGGCTCGTGTTGGTGAATAGAAACGTGAAATGAATGTGAACCGTTGGATGAAAAGATATTCGATTCTGTGAAAGAGTGATGGTTACCGGTTGAGAGTGAGACCACACAAGTTGCTTCTTTTTCTGACTGTTTTTGTTTTTGTTTTTACTTTTTATCATAAAAACTAAAAACTAAACATCAAGTGGACTACGGATATATACTTATTTATATATTTTAAATCAAATTTAAAACACTCTTTCATATTCTTACAATGATAAATTAAATCAAAATTACTTATAATTATTTTTAAGGACAATACATATTTCACATATAATTTAATTTAGGAAATTACTTATTCCATCTTACGAGGTAAAAAAATTCTTTAGAATTTTAAAAGTGTTATTCAGTTTTTGAAAATTTATCTTTGTACATATTATATAGAATTTTTTTTAGAATAACAAACTATTAGTTAAAAATTATTAAATAAAAGCAAATTTCAAAAAAAAATTTAAACCAACTAATATTCAACAGCCAGTCGCCGTTTGGATTGACAACATTGTTGCACTCACGTTTTGGGCTTGCATTAAGTCGCCATAAGGATTGACGACTGTGAAAAAAATGGCTCATATCGCCATCACGATTGGCGAATCAGTTGCGGGTTTAGGGTTTGCGCATTTGTCATTTAAATAAATATTAATAAACATTTTAATAAATATTTTACCTATTAATAAATATTTTAATTATCTATTAAATTCATTAAATTTATTATTAAATTTATAAACATTTTAATAAATATTTTAATAACCTATTAAATATATTATGTTTATTATTAAGTTTATAATTATTTTAATATATATTATGTTGTTTGTTATTTATAATTAATTAAAATTTAAAAAATCCTTAAATAATATAGACATGTAAGGATTTATAATATATTAATGAAAATTAAAAAATTAAAATATATTGACATGTAAGGATTTAAAAAAAAGTTAAAATATATTAATTTATAATATAATGAAAATTACAATTGAAAAAAAATATATAATGAAAATTACACAACTAAAAAAAAAACTAATGCCCGGCTCTATCCAAGCGACCACCGGTGCCACACTGCGGGGGATGCGCGTTGCGACGAGGTATACGACGAGGTTGTTGTGGTGTGTCTGGTCGTTTTGTGTTGAGTTGTTGAGGAGGGTTTTGTTGGGACGGTCCCGGCGTATTAGATAGATTTTACAGCATTTGACCCCAATAGCCGGGAGGTCCACTATCAACGGCGCTTCCGTAGTTTAGCTCAATGCATATGTTTTCGAAGGATTGTCGGGGAGGTTGGGTGGTGTATGGACGATATGGTTGTCCGAATTCGTACATCGAATTGGGTTGGAAATAGTGTGTTGATTGTTGTGGGGTGTGGTAGTCAAATAGTGGATAGTTGGAGGGGTAGTTGGAGGGGGTAGGGTCAAATGAGTTATTTGGGCTATAGGCGGATGGGGTAGGCTCAAAAGACGTATTAGGGCTATAATGGTATGGTGGTTGAGGTTGAGACTGGGTGGGTTGCATGTATGGGTCATGGTATGTTGGTTGATGGGGGGCATTTTGGGGCATGTATGGGTTATGGTAAGGCTGATTTTGGGCACTGGACTGTTGTTGTGTGTTGGACGAAGAAGCGCGTTGCCTTGGGTCGACTAAATATGTTGGCTGGGACAGAAATGGCTGAGATGTCGTGACAGACCTAAACCAAGTCATATATTGAAGACTTGGCTTAGCCCCGTGCACAATACGGTCGGTTAAGACGTGTTGCCTTCTTCTCTTCCAGTGTTTACACAACTCCTTCCAATCACTGACACTCCACTGCGAGTCCACCCGCTTTTGATGCCACTGCCCCAACTCTACCGGAGCATCTGGAATATCCTGATGCATCCCAAATTGTAGCTTCACCCCGTCACTTTGGTGCATCTCCACCGTAGTGAACCTAATTATGGGTGTTCTTGATGTCCACACAACAACATCATTGGGGTCGGGCTGGTGGTCGAGACCCTCGTACGACATCCAGACAAACTACAATAAATATGGATACATTTAGTTAGGCAGAGATAGACAAGGTTGCGGTATAAGTTAGACAAATTAAAGGTAAATGACTTACATCATCTGGCCCAAGGTGGTCGATGAGGTTGCGGTATTGAATTATAGAGTGCCTGGGACATCTCTGATAATTCATCCCTGGAACAGACCACCTAAAAAAAATAAACACATAAGTTAGCATCTAAAACAAATCTCACAAATTATTAACTTACAAAGAAAATGTAGTTGCAAAATAATCTTGAAAAGAAACTTACTTGTTGGCGTACGGAAATGTAAAAGAATTCTGGTTTATTGGAGCAAGCGTTGGCATCCTAAATCAACCCCACGCTTGTAAGTGATAAGCACAGCCATAAAAAGTACATGAATTTTTTTTGGAAGTTTTGCAAAGTGCGCTATAGAGATGGGCGAGGACAGCTGATCCCCAACTATATTCGCACACTTTGTTTATATTCTGTAATAATGGTAAATACATAATATGGACGTTATTTCCAGTTCCCTCTGGAAATAAAAAGTGACCGAACAAAATCATAATATAGAAACTTGTTTTGACTATTATGTCATATTCGGTGCTATCATCAGTTAGGACAATATTATTGTATTGTTATCTGAGGTATTTTAAATTAATTCCCTGACCCCTAGGGCGGCCCTCGCTTTTCGCCTGAGGTGCGTCCATACAAAGAGGGGCGCCCAATATCATCAGTTAGGACAATATTGTTGTATTGTTATCTGAGGTATTTTAAATTAATTCCCTGACCCTTAGGGCGGCCCTCGCTTTCCGCCTGAGGTGCGTCCATACAAAGAGGGGCGCCCAATAAATCTCCGCAAAGTCGGTCAGGGGCACCAACTTTGTCTTTGACGGCCTTACCATCGATGTGTAGGCCGAGCAACATGTAGACGTCTTGGAGAGTCACCGTACACTCACCAAAAGGTAGGTGAAATGTATGTGTCTCCGGTCTCCAGCGTTCTAACAACGACATAAAGACAGAACACTGCACCAAGGCAACATAAATTAAACAAACATAACAACAACGTAAAGACATAAAACAGAACACTGAACCAAGGCGTCTATGATATCACGATCATCAACTTTATCTTCTTCGGTGTTAACATCATCACAAGGACACCGGCATCATTTTCCACTTTTCTCCATTCACGAGTAACTCCGTTTCTCCCGGTCTCCTCAACCAACCTCTCAATTTTCCTAATCTTTTCTCCTGGACCAATATCTCCTTCTAGTCAGCGGTTCAGTTCCCTGTGCAAGTGCTCCAACGTCTGCGTATTCAACAAGAGCACCTTCATCGGAGGCTTTGTTGCTGAAAAGACAATTAGGGCATTTCTTTTCGTTAGATCGAATGTTGGAAAGGGTTCCTCCGATGCTGATGACGAGAACGAAGAACGTTGATTTAGAAATGCAGACATTCTAGACTCCGCTCCACTCAAAATGCACTAACATAGTCTTTTGGTATACAATGTTGTGAAAACATATATGTGTTTGCAGTCGTATTTATAGAAAAATAAAATAGTACGTGCCCCATATGATATGTCTTAAATACCCTTACAAAATTTATACACTTTATAATTCAATTGTTAATCAGTTTTTATGTTTTAAAATTTATAATTTAAATCAATTTATATGCTTTTAAATTAAATTGTATTTAAATTAATTTATAATTAAATTTATAATTCAATGCTTTAAAATCAATTTATAATTCAATGGTTAATCAAATTTTTATTTTGTATTTACATTAATTTATAATTAAATTTATAATTAAATGCTTTAAAATCAATTTATAATTAATGATTAATCAAATTTTTATTTTGTATTTAAATTAATTTATAATTAAATTTATAATTCAATATTTTAAAATCAATTTATAATTCAATGGTTAATCAAATTTTTATTTTGTATTTACATTAATTTATAATAAAATTTTTAAAAAAATTTATAACTTAAACATAATAATTATTAATTATTTCATAAATATTACTTAAAAATGTTACTTAAATTTATTAAATCTTATTTTAAATAATTCAATGGTTATGGAATAATAATATAGTAAAACATGAAGGAACCCTAAACCTGCAACTGATTCGCCAATTGTGATGACGATATGGGTCATTTTTCTTCACAGTCGCCAATTCTTATGGCGACTTAATGCAAGCCCAAAACGTGAGTGCAACAATGTCACCAATCCAAACGCGACTGACTGTTGAACATTAGTTGGTTTGGGAAATTCTTTAAAACTTGCTTTTATTTGATAATTTTTAACTAATAGTTTGTTATTCTAAAAAAAATCTATTTTTATATATATATATATATATATATATATATATATATATATATATATATATATATATATATATATATATATATATATATATATATATATATATATATATATATATATATATATATATATATATATATATATATATATATATATATATATATATATATATATATATATATATATATATATATATATATATATATATATATATATATATATATATATATATATATATATATATATATATATATATATAAAATTTATTTATTTTTGAACTATGATTTAATTTTATAATTAAAGTTAATCTGAAAATGCACAATTTAAAATAAATTTAGTCATAATGTCTAAAAAACGAATGAGTTATGTGTATTTGAAATACATCCAAAAATACATCATTAAAATAAAAAAGTATAATTGTATTTTAACAAATTGTTTTAATAATCTATATAATACATTAAGAACTCCTCATAATTTATGGTTTAAGAGTATCTTTAGTGGGAGTAAACTAAATGGGTAAACTAAGATACTTTTTGTGGGACCAAAGTGATTTGTA